ACAGCCACGTGACAGCTGTACACTAAATACATCCCCCTTGGGCAGTGCCTCTTCTGCTCAGCTCAGCCATAAAAGAGTGTGTATGATTTTCATGTGAAAAAGCAAAATTGCAAGACAGTTGGAGCTCTTTATAAGTTGCATTCAGCCTTAATGCTGAGCCTACACAGAGTCTTTCCTAGTTTGGTCGTTTTCCTTTAATGGGTGTTATCCTTAATTACTTTATTTAAAGTAATTTCTGGTCTATACTGATCGCTGTTAACTCACTTGAAGAGTGGATATGGCAGATCAGGTAAAGGAATCCCAACCCAGCACCTGGAATTCAAGGGAACTGTATTTTCTTAAGCTTACTGGTGGATTAATTTTGCCATCCTGATAAAACAGCAGATCTCTGAAGTTAATCTGGAAGATTCTGGTGGACATCCCTCATGGATGGCAGAGAGATGAAGGGAAAAATTTAGATGGTGTCTGGCTGGCCAATATAACACAAATCTGACAGCTACCACAGGCAGAGGCAAGAGTAATTAACTTCCCTGTGAAAGTCTGTGTAGGGCTAAAGAAGAAAAAGATTAAAGTGCTGTTCATTTTAATGCTATTCATCCAGTGTTGCTGGATGTGGAAAAAGCTCCATAAGTCCTCAGTGGCTTTCTGAATATCTCTTGGTGGTGGAAGGTAGATGCAGTTTTCTGGCTCTAAATGGGCAAATTATTTTGAAGGTACCATATTGTCAGTACTTCATACAGAATGTCACGTGGCAAGAACAACATCAGTGTGTGGGGGTGTGGGTGTAATAATGTCCAGTTAGTTGGATAAATCTAAGCACAGACAGTTATTGAAATAAACTCTACCTGTTTAGTAATGTCACAGTGGCAAACTCATCTGGTGTGTGACAACTGAAGTTATTTTCTGATTAATTCTTACCAAAATCTTTTTAGTCAAGCTTTTAAATGGATCCTATGATTTTTATAAAATAAAGAGTTTTTGACAAAATTTCAGAAACATCGAGTCCTGTCTTTATTTCCCAGGTTGTAATGATAAGACACATTACCATGTTTACAATATTCCTGTTCAATAAATATTATTTTTCCTCGATATATCAAATGTGTAATTGGTAGTTTAAGCATACTATCATAGTTTCATTTTTGTTGTTTTGCCTGGGCAAATGTAATTTTAGAAGCACCTTTCTTATGGAGTGCCAGTCACTTGAAAGTACAAGAAGATGCATTGTGGATCCCAGCTTTAAAGTGCATCCCAATTTTAAATTGTGTATCCCAAATTTAAAGTGCTGAGCCAGCTTATTTCCAAGGCTCTCTACATTGGAGAAGAAAGGAGTGTAAGACAAGGCCCTGCATTTTGGTGGACAGTAGCACAGCTTAATGAAAAAGTTTGAGATTTGAAATACTAGAGTTGAAAAAACCAGTCTTTTGGCCTCAGTTTGCAGAGTAGAAATAACAACGTTTCCTTGCCTTTTTTTGAAGTGCAAAGTGCTTTCAAGGCGCTGAGTGAAAAAGTGGGATAGCATCGTTAAATATTTAGAAATCCAAATGAACCCTTTGATAGGAATATGAAGATTTATGTTAAAATGTAACAAGCCAGAAGTGTGGTGAAGTTTTAAGTTGCATTATCTGGTTTTTATCTGTCTTGTCAGAGATCCCGTTATTCATTTGCATTGTACATGCTAATGGAATTATGTACACATTCCAGCATCACTTGTGTAAATATTCCTTGGATATGTAAATACAAATACCAGAGCAGATACGGCCTGTGTGTTTAGATTCTGAATTTTAAAAGATTTCCTGCATTGTGTGTATTAATTTTGTGTCTGAAAGGCAGGATCAAAAGCCAAAGGACAAAAAGCTGAAGAAATTTAAGTTAATATAATCTTTGATTCATTATATGAAAGTCTTCTCCCTGACAGTTCCTTTAAAATGGTAATAAGTAACTTAAAATAGTCTTCTCTACTGTTTCTGTAGTTCCTAAATTTGCTATGTTCATCCTGTCCTTGTAGAATATATGTTTTGATGGGTGAAAATGTTATTGTACCACAAATAGAGTTTCTTAAGTGACTCTTTTTGTAACTTATTTCTAATACTAAGTTATTAGAACATAATGTTTAACTGGAAGAGTACTGTGCTATGCAACAGGAAATCTAATAAGTGGGTTTAAAAGTCAAAATTACATCAAGGATTCTTTGAAATTATCAGAATTATTTTTTTTCTGGAAAATGTTTGGTAACAGTACCATTCAATTTGCTGAAATAGGAAAAGAGTAAAGAGTGACCTGACTGAAGGCACAGTTTGAATAGTCTCTACAAACCACTGCATCTTTAGAATTAAGATAGGAAAAGTAAATAGTCAAAGATGTCTGAGCAAGACAGCCTGAAGATAGGGGACATTAACTGTAGAATAAACCAGTTTAGAAAGCAAATCTGAGAAATACAATACAAATTACTTAATATGTAAAATATTAATAATTTTCCAAATTTATTATGTATTCTGCCATTTGTCTGTCCTATTTCTCTTGCAATAAGGGCAGGAAAAAAAGTGTATTTCATTGCATCGATAGTCAATCCAAAAGAGGACTTAAAAGTGCTTTAAATTCGGGTGGTATCTTACTACAGGAGTAGAAGGTTGGCTGTATGCTGTGACTGACATGGCTTATTCTCCATTTCTCTGTCACCCACTAAACTTTGCTATCCTCTGCTAAACCTACATCTTTGGTTTTGGCTGTGAATCAAATAAAGGATGATCAAAGGCAAAAGTTCAGTGTCTTGCAACAGCTGGTTTCTCTGCTTTCTCTCCTTATTAGCAAATGGTATCTGAGTTTGAACTCCCACTGCTGGACAAATGCCTCAGTTTAATCTTGATAATTTAAGAGTGTCTAAAATAGTCTCATAACTGATAAAGAGGATATAAGTGTGTGTATAATATAAAATATGAAATGCTGTGGTAAGTTCAGAGGATGAGAAATGTGATGCTTGAATCCCATTCTTAGAGTTTCTCTATAAATTCTGAGAATGTGGATCTTAATACACTGAATGAATTTTATTTATTGAAAATCAATAGGTAAAAGTGCCTGCTGGACTTAAAAGGATGTTACCTAATAGACACTCAAGAATGTTAGTCTAATATAGCAGTAATACAATATATAGCCAGTGATAGAGTGAAAATATTGAACAAATGACAACAAAGCATATTTAACTTTAAGTGGGAAAAAATTATGTTTAGTGGAGCTTACAGGCCCACCTCTGTTCTGGTCTTGTACAAAATGACCTTCCCAGTCTCAAATCTGCTGCTCTGATTTTGGAACTGCTCAGTAATTCATGAATACACTATGTTGACATGGCCAGTAGGATGTTTACATTTGAATATGGTTCTACATCTTAATGGGTACTGTCAGGAAAGACAAGCAGGAAGGGGAAGGAACAGTTAAGATAAGCCACATCTCCACAATTCTTGCCGAATGAAGCCAGCTCAGGGAAAAAGCTCAGTAGTACATGCAGGCAAAAGAATCCCAGCTGGTTTTGTAAAGGAACACACGATGAGACTGGTGGGAGCTCTTAAAGAGCTTGGACAGACTCTCAACTCCTTAACTTGGCTTCCTGGGTTACCCTTGGGGGAGAGGATTTCAGATCCCTATCAGTGTTTACCTTAAAGACCTCTTTGTGGTAATCACTTTCTTACTAATGTTTAAATAATAGAAGGGAAAGTTGTTTTATCAGCGTATTTTATCAGGAAAATTGAAGGTTTACATTTTAGACCCTGTGAGGCTGTGCAGCCAGCCCTGTCACCAACCCTGCCCCAGAAGCCAGGCTCCTTGGGATCACCAAAAAGAAATACCTCCCCTGTTAAAGCCTTTGGGTATGTTTGGGATCGTTTGGACTTCAGGTATTCAATGGATTATAGATATTTTCCATCAAGAGAAAGAAAAAAAGCACTATCCAAATAGTTGGGGAGAAAATAGAAAAGTGATTCGATTTTTTCTGGAAATCCCCTCTCAGCACACTAATTACTTTGAATGATAAAGCAATACACTTACACAACAAATATTTTTCTGAGGTTGTTCAGCAATTGGTTACAACTCCACCAGCCTATATGCAAAAAACAATACATCAAAATTATTATCTAAATATGCATGAATAGTGAGTTCTTTATAGCCTGTCAAGAGAAAAATATGCTGAGTATACAACTACTGTGTCAGAATATTAATGTAACACTGGGTAGGAACTTTGGGAAATCTCATTAAAACACACCCAGGTTGTAGGCTAAAAAGCAAGTGTATTCCTTATCTGGTACGCAATCAATTATCTGTATTTTCAATGCGATGAAATTAAGGTATGTTTCCCTGTGAGCAACATGTAACGAACCTGAAGCAGTTTTATTTTTTGCTTTATACATTGCAAGAAGATGTCTCTTTAAAAAGCAGCTGGGGAAGTGTCTGGAGCACAAGTCTGGTGAGGAGTGGCTGAGGGAGCTGGGGATGTTTAACCTGGAGAAAAGGAGGCTCAGGGGGGACCTTGTTGGTCTCTACAACCACCAGGACCAGAAGACACAGTCTTAAGCTGTGCCAGGAGAGGTTTAGGTTGGACAGTAGGAAGAAAGGGTGATTAGCCATTGGAAAGGGTGATTAGCCATTGGAAAGGGTAATTAGCCATTGGAAAGGGTGATTAGCCTGGCTGCCCAGGGAGGTGGGGGAGTCACTGTCCCTGGAGGTGTTTAAGGAAAGAGTGGACGTGGCACTCAGTGCCATGGTCTGGTTGACACGGTGGTGTTCGGACGCAGGTTGGACTCGATGGTCCCGGAGCTCTCTTCCGACCGAATCCCTTCGGTGTTCCCGTGACTCCCTCGGCCCCGGCTCCGGGGGGTCCCTGTCCCTCAGCCCCGCTCCCGCCGGGCTGCTCTGCGCACGCGCACCAGGGTGACAGGGCGGCGCCGGGCACGTGCGCGAGCCCCGCCAAGGGGCCGCTGCCGCCGCCCGCGGTGCCCGGGGCGGGGAGGAAGGAGGGGCCCGGCCGAGCCTCCGCCGCCAGCCCGCCCCATCCCGCCCCGCCCTGCCCGCTCCGGCTCGAAGGCGGCCCCGCCCGCCCGGCCATTGGCGAGGGAGGGAGAGAGAGAGAGGGAGGGAGCGGGTGCGCGCCAGGCCCCGGCGTGTCGCAGCGAAGGCGTCCGGGCGGGCCCCGCTGCCGCGGCGGCGCGTTCCGCGCGGAGCGTGTGCGCGGGCCCCGAGCGGAGCCGCCGCTGCCATGGAGCGGGGGGGCGGCGGCGCCGCGCGGGGCTGAGCGCGCCCCTTCCCCATGAGACGGTGGCTGTGCTGGCTGGGCTGCTACACCCTGCTCCTGTGGGTGCTCAGGAGGACGATGTGGGCTGGCCCTGCCCGCTACCTGCGGAGCCCTTTATCCAGGTCCCTCTACGTGAATATGATGGGCAGCCACCGCCAGCCAGCCCCGGGCGCCAGGGAGAACCACCAGGTACAGCCCCGGCGGCGGCCGGGCCGCCCTGCCCGCCCCTGCCTCCCCTCAGCGCGGCGGGCGGGGGCGGCACAGGGACCCCCCGCCCCCGGGGAGCGCCGCGGGGCAGGGCCGGGGGTCCGGCGGGAGGGAGCGGCGGCGGGAGCGGGGACCCCGGTGCGGGCTGAGGGGGCTCCGGGCCGGGCAGCGCAGACAAAGAGAGGGAACTGCTCGGCGCTCCGGTGAGAAAGTTGCCGTGTGCCCCCCCGTGTGGGACGCGCCCCGGGGCCCGCCGGCGGGGCGGGACCGGCGCTGCGGGGCCGCGGGGGGTCGGGGAGAGCCCGGCGGGGGAGCAGCGGCGGGTCCCGGCCCCGGGAACGCGGCGGGTCGGGGCCAGAGCTGCTCCCGGGGGACTGCGGCCCCAGAGCGTGGGTGTACCCCCGGCTGAGTGGATGTACATCCCAGTGCGTGGGTGTACCCCCCGGTGAGTGGATGTACATCCCAGTGTGTGGGTGTACCCCCCGGTGAGTGGATGTACATCCCAGTGTGTGGGTGTACCCCCCGGTGAGTGGATGTACCCCCCGGTGTGTCCCGCTGAGCCATATGAGAGGCTTCTGCGAAGTCTGCAGGTGGTGGTGTTGAGGAGGGTGGGTTTGTAATCACAGGGATATTTGTCATCAGTACCGGTGCATCTAGAGGAAAACAAAGTAGGGAACTGCGAAGCTCTCAGAGGCCTTGGAGCAGTAGGAGGTGGCAAACTGGGAATGAGTTATTGCAATGTGATCCGGCTGCAATAAAAGGTTAAGTGCTATATTTGGGCAGTGTAGGCACATGGGTCAGTACCTTGTGAAGTCAGGTGCTATAGCCTAGCAATGAAATGGTTATGTGATAGATTTCATTTGGAATATATTCAAACCCGTTCTACATTTTGGCAAAATGCAACTGAAAATCTGACAGGAGTTACAGGGCTAATAAAAACTTATTGGGGAAGGGAGATGGCAGCTTAACGTAGGTAATATATGCAGAACTGAGCTAACGAAGAAGACACAGCATGAACACTTGAGGACTGCTGTACAAAGGGTTTATTATGGTTATGCACCATAATTCTTCAAGCTGATCCATTACTGCAGGTTCTTAATGCTCAGAGTGGGCATTGACATCCAGTATCTTACTACTGAGTGGATGTATCACTGGGGTTTAATACGTGTGGTTCATTCAGTGCATAAGTACAAAGAGAAGTAGAATTTAGGTTTATGGAAAAAAACCTTCCTTCTGGTGAACAAAGAAAATCTGAGTCTTTTGTGTTGTTAAAAATTACTAGGAAGACAAGTCATCCAGGGAAATGTGTTATGGAGGTGATCATGTCATTCACAGGTAGATGGTCTGCAGTGGATAATCTCCATTTCTGATTTATTTGATCTAGATTTAAAATGTGGAGTATTGATTTTTTTAGTACATTTAGTAAGATTTACGATTAGTGAGTTTGTGGGGTTACTCATAAGTAAGGATTGCAGCTTGAGACCCCTGGAACTTTGACTCTGCAGTTTTACTGATTTAATTAGTTTTATGCAAATTATCTAAAAGAACTTGTTTATCCTTTTACTAATATTAGGCAAGAGTTGTAAGAATTATAACTTTTATTATAACAAAAGTCTTAACAATCTGAAAAGATATGAGAATTGATACACTTTGTGTCATGAAACTAGTGGCCTTTCATATACTGTACATGAATGAAAACAAAAGCAGTTTCTGTTCTGAGGAGATAGTTCCAGAGTTAAGCTGTTTTTCACCAGCTTTTTCATTTGAAATTTCTATTGGTTTTACCTTTTTTTTTTTTTTTTTTACTTACAGTTTGCTGTAATTTCTGTTACTTGTTAGGGTTGTATAGGTATTTGTCAATAACCTTATTGGCAAGATTAACCATGGAGAATTGTAGAATCATTGAATTCTTAAGGTTGGAAAAGAACTCCAAGATCATCAAGTTCAACCTTTGACTGAGTACCACCACGGCCACTAAAGCATATCAAAATTAGAGGAGATCTGTGAATAAAGCCTAATTTCTGGAAACAAGGTTATGTTAGGTGTCACCATCATCCTTCTGCCAGTGGTTATGTCAATATTTAGGAGTCTTAAAGACCAGAATTGCAGGACTGTTGTTTTTCAGTGGAACTACAGGTGACAGCTCAGTGCAGAACTCCAGGGTGTGTGAGCTCGGGTACAGCACCTGTGTAGTCCTATTGCTTATGGAACAAAGCCTGTGTTTCCCCAAGCTTTGATAGTTGAGTGTGTTTTCTTCTGGATTGAAAATGGCAACACATTGCAAAAGGCAAATGGTTTGAGCCACACCAAACCTGTTCAGTGTAGTGAGGCACAGCCTCATGAGTGCACCTGATGCACATCCCAGCCTGCTCTGCAGCTCCTTGGGATTGTTTGCTCCTGCCAGGCTCTTGAAATTTGCTTCTGAAGATGGATGGACAAAGTACCCAGGCTGCTGCTTTAGTGGTTTTTCATGACCCACTAAGGATTTCTTTTGGGAATCACTGGACTGTGCTGATGAATTTATCTAGTGCTGCACTGCAGTGAGAAAACACCTAAGGTGGTAAATCAGCACCCTGGGGGATCCCTGTGCCAGGTTCCATCGTGTGGTACAGACTTGCTTAAAATCCATTTTTTAGAGGAAAGGAGCACTCACTTGTGCTCTCTACAAGTGTGTCTGAAAGCACAGTCAAGAGGCTGATTTTGCCAGAAGTGCACCCATTATGCAGGTGGTTTTCAGAGTAAACCTGAGCAGGCACGTTTGCTCCTCAGCTGAAGGGTCTGAACATCCCTTGCTACTTTGGGCCAGTGTTTGATGGAGCCCCTGTTCATGGATCTGGCATAATGACCTTGGTTCAGCTCCCTGCTCCCCTCTGCCTGCTGGCACTGCTGCTGTGAAGCAGCAGACACTGGAATAAGAATCCTGCCCCATTATTATTTGCATTACAGTAATGACTGGAAGTCCCACTGTGCTGAATGCTGTGTAAACCTGCATTAAGTGAACGTTCCTGTCCCAACAAGGCAAACAAATTTGAAGGGATCAGGATATGACCACACATCTTTACAGTGTCTTAGGTGTTAAATCTAAGTTTTAGATTTAACTGGAGTTCCCCCAGCTGATTGTTTCTGCCCTTCCATGTGTATTTTTTCCAAGGTTCTGTTCAAACTCTCCATTTCTCTTTCGGATACTCACAAGTCCCTGTCTGCACAATGAACTCATACAGCCACATTAAGGAACATTATTGCAAGATCCAAGGGGGAGATAAGATGGTGTTGACTGTAGGGAATAATTCTTGATTATAACAAAAGTGACACAGTGGCATTCTACAAGAAGGAATGACAATAACTCCACAGAAGTGTAGGAGAGTGAGAAATAATAGTGACCTTCCTAATTAAAATTGCATTTGAAACTTTAATAACTTTTGAATATCAAGGTGAGGGGGCTTTAAGCTTGGCATTGCAACCTAGCAATGAGCAGCCTTTTGAATTTTGTTATTGGTGCTGACATTCCAAAATGTTGCAGCATTGGAGGAGTTTGCTGGAGGTGCAAAAGGTGACCATGAGCGTCCTAAAATGTCAGAATTTCTGCAGGTTTGCCTTGTTTTGCAAGGTTTTAAAGAAGGAGTTTCATAGATAAAATTGTTTGAAAGACTTGTGGATCTGCTTGTTGGTACTGGTAAGTGAAAAAACATAGTTCAGCTGTAAGACAGACAAGCTGTGGTCTAATGTATGTATTGGATTCTTCTTTCCTTGAAAAATATTGGAAGTGCACTTGCTGATCTCTCTTCAGAGGATGCCTAGGGAAAAGTCCCGCTTCATACTATTTTATCAGTGCTGCTGTTCCCTAGAGGAGCTATGTTTGCTTTCTAGGGAATTTATTTTCCAGATTTCTTCAAAGTACAGGGTAATGATTAGGACAAAAATTAAAAGCAGTATTTTTTAGCAAGGAATTGGTCCTCCCTTCATTACAATTCTAAATTAATTTAATCCTGAAGTTTATTGAGAAAACTGTAGCAAAAACTAAATTTTTATATTTAGGAAAGTTGATAATAGCTTTCCATGTATTAATTTTAACTACTTCTGGTTTTATCTTGCTGAACCTTTTAATGGTCCTTTATCTCTTTCTCCAGTGGTATGTCTGCAACACAGAACAGTTGTCTGAATCCCTTCAGCCCGTTTTTGTCCAGAGTTACCTTGACCAAGGAACACAGATCTTCTTAAACAACAGCATTGAGAAGTCAGGCTGGCTGTTCATCCAGCTCTACCACTCTATTGTGTCCTCCAGTTTTAGCCTTTTTATGTCTAGAACATCTATCAATGGGTAAGTGAAAAGTTAATCTTGGGTAAACTCCATACAGTTTGGATTTAGAGTTTTGAAATGTTCAGCCCTACCCCTTGATCTGTCAGCTTTTCAACGTGTGTAGGTTTCCCTTTGTGGTCTCTCAGATGGGAAATGCCCTCTGTACTCTTCATGCCCAGCCCTCTTAGCTGATGAACACCATTTCCAGGGGGGCCACAGGAGAGGTAATTGCAATTAATAAAAGACAGAGGACTCTAGTTGTATTTTATAACAATTACTTGTATTAATTTCTTTCTAACTAAGAGAGTGTTTGTTCTCTCTGTGTCTTTTCCCTCTGCTTTTTTCCCTCCCCACCTTGCCCTTTCCCTGCTGCCATGTTTGTATCAGTTACTGTTGGGATTGTCCTTGGTGGTGGGTGTATCCAGTCAGTTCTGGATTGCACCTGAAACTCTTTTTCCTGGGGGGTGTGTGTGTGCCCACTGTGAATCATGGCAGATTTCTGAACACTGCAAAGTTGGGCAAGTGTTGAATCTGGTGGCATTAATGTGGAATTCTGTCCTTTCTCTTGTTCTGTAAAACAATTCCACCTCAGTTTGTGTGAAAGCTGGACTTGAACAGGTAACTTCTGATGCAGCACGTTTGACTGATGAAACATCAGGAAAGCAGGAAAACATAAGTTGATAAAACAATATTCTCTTATTCTTATTGCATCAGTCTCTCTTGTGGCTGAAGGGGAGTTTGGCTGTTCAAGGGTGATTTACGATTTTTTCCAAAGAAGTCAGTGCCTTTTTTTGCTCACGTCACCCCACTCAGACACGTTTCACAGCTTATCTGTTATGAAGAATGCATTTTGTTACATTTAGGCAATTTCTCCACCACTCTCCCCTCTGCACCTACTACATACTTCTGCACAGTCTGATATGATAGGAGCTGTCTGCTAAGGCTAAAAAAATAGACTTTTTTCTTATTTTCTACCCAGATGACTTTATGAGCTTCCCTGTGGTGTTCTTAGTTATGTGTAGCTTTATATAAAGGTTCCTTTGGTCTCTTCTTTTCTCTTCCATTTTTTTTTTTCAAAGGCTCTTCAGGGCTTTGAATAACACCTCATAATGCTGTTAGGAATAATAGCTATGAGCCAATTATACAGTGTGGACTGACACAAGTGTGCTGCAAGGGGGCTCTACTTAAATTGGATGTGGTCTGTTTATTTTTATACATTTGATATCCTGCTTTAGTTTCTTCTGTATGACTTTGTCTACTCTAACCTTTTTGTTGTTTGACTCTACTAAAAACCAAAGAAACTATCTTTCCTAGGCCACCTCCTTTTCACAATTTTAATTCTTTGATTCTTTATATCTTTGTTTACCTTTTTTTGTTTGCTTTTTTTCTCTGTTCATTGTCTTTAAGTTTAACCTGCTACCCAACAGTAGTTTAAAGAATGGTATTTATCTACCTGGAGTCTATTACTGACCAATTCTTTTTCCTCTCCTTGTTCTTGTAACTGTTTCATCATCTGAATTCTGCTCTGACAGCTGAAAGGTGTCACTGTGGAGTCTTCAAACAGTTGTGGGCGGGGATGTCATTGACTTGATCCATAAGGAATCCAACTGTCACCTCTACCCAATTCCTTAATGAGTTGCCTATTTTCTATTCCATGGCTTTTCATGTTGATCTGCAGCTAGCAGCAAAAGCATTGTAGAATAGAATTAAGAAAACCTCTTTTGCCCCTCCAGCAGTGTTACTCCCATCCTTTCTTTAAGTTTGTTCCCTGGCTTCCCTCCTAGTTCCAATCCTATTCCTTATTCATGGAGCATATTCCCGTGTCTGCAGCCATTTTATTTCCTCTGTTACTTCTCTTTTTTTTTAAGGTTGGTGGCAGAGATTCAAAACTGCAAATGTAACAAATAAGGTTCAGCCTTTATCTCTTCTTCTCTTTCTCCCCCTCTCCTCTTTTTTTTTTAATATGATCATTTCCTTGAGCTGCACCCCATGAGCTCTTCCTTACTTAATCAAATTCCTCCTGAAGTCTTAACCACTGTAACTGCATGTGGCTGAGTGTTTGATCTCTGACAAGTGCAAGGCAAGTTGAACTGGATTTAAAATTTATCTGAGCAGTGACCTTGTCTACTGTTATGTTTGACTGTTTCCTGCCAAAGCACATTGTAAATTCCTTCATTGTCTGTCCTATTAAAGTTTGTACAGAGTTGGTAATTTCTTGTTTTTTACATTTCAGGCTGCTGGGAAGGGGCTCAATGTTTGTGTTCTCCCCAGAACAATTTCAGAGACTGCTTAAAATAAATCCCGAATGGAAATCCCACAGACTTCTTGATTTAGGGGCTGGAGATGGAGAAGTCACTAAAGTCATGAGTCCTCACTTTGAAGAAATCTATGCCACTGAACTGTCTGAAACGATGATATGGCAGCTTCAGAAGAAGAAATACAGGTATGGCACCAAATACTTCCTACATCCTTTATATCAGACATTACAGCAAAGTAATCTATTTGTAATATTTAATGAGTGTTCAGTATTTTCACTCAGTTCCTTTACTGATTGCTATGGAAAAGATTAATCTGTACAAAAGCAGGAAAACAAACATATATGATGCTCCCTCTTACCAGTGGTGTTTTTGGTGTCCTTTATTGCCTGATGATTGTAAGGCAGTATAAGTAGGTTCACAGGGCTGGATATATAGCCATGCTGATCATTGATTTCTTTTTCTTTTCCAAAAGGACAGAAGGGATCATGTCTGTCTCTTCTCACTGCCTAAGTGGCTGACCTTACCTGCACTACCAGCACATCCATAGGGAATTTTTGTCTTCAGTGCTTCTCTCTGAACTCAGCTGTGTTTGTTTAACAGACTATGTCTCTTTCCTTTTTTAGGGTGCTTGGTGTAAATGAATGGCAAAACACAGGATTTCAGTATGATGTTATCAGCTGTTTGAATTTGCTGGATCGCTGTGATCAACCACTGACTCTATTAAAGGATATTAGAAGTGTAGTGGAGCCAACCAAAGGCAGGGTCATTCTAGCACTGGTTCTGCCATTTCATCCCTATGTGGAAAATGGTAAGTACACAGATTAACAGTTATTTAGGCAACTAAAGAAAACTTCTGTAGGATATAGTATTCTAAATTAAATGTTTAATGAATAACATGCTCCTATTTTATTTTTTTTTTACAAATAACTTGTATGGTGCATATTCAGAAGTATGAAATCATAGGTAAATAGGCCACATGATGTAAACTGCTTACTTAATTCACCAGCATAATTGTTGGCACCAACAAAAAACTTAAATACTGAAGTCACGGATCCTGTTCTGCAAGTTGCCACATTTCAGCTCTGTTGGAGTAACATGGGAAAACTGGTCTCTGATTAGGGCCTTTTAGCCAGAGGTAACCCCAGTTGTCCCTAGTGACCCACTGAGCAAACCCATCAGAACTGTCTAATGCTGAATAAAGCAGTTCAGAACAAACTGTTTCAAGTGTTCCAGGTGAACCCACCTAAAAATTCATAGGGAGAGAATGTTCACTTTCCAACATGAACTCTCAAAGCAAAATATAGACCCCCTCCTAATACAAAGTATCAACCACTGTTAATATTGTATTAATTTATATTTTCCTAGTAACAGGCATAAAAAAGTAAAATTCAGTGCCAAGACTCCATTATTTCCCCTAGTTGCATTTTAAAGAAATACATGAGAGAGTTTCAAATGAACCTCTCCTTGTGACTAACCTTCAAAAGAGACCCGAAAATCTTCTTTACATGCCTGTGGTTGTGGATTTTGGTGGAGGCACCCTAAAGGTGGTTTGAGTTCCAGAAGGCTGGTGTTCATCAGTCATTGTTTGGACTCTGGTTCTTCTTGAGTATTAAGACTTGTCTGTGGAAAGGCATGGATGCCCAGAAAATACAGAACTAATAATGTTCTGGCAATCACAAATGCATCAAACTGAATCTGCTGTTCTCTTTTTATACGTCAGGGGTATTTTGGTGGGAGAAGGGAGAAAAAACTTTTAAGTATAAAAAACAATGCCATCAGATTAAGAAATACTATATGAAGAATGCTATAAGTATTTAAGCTAATAATTTTGTAACTATTCTGAAAAGTAGTGTGTCTTAAATTGGATTGAGGGGTTCCCTTATGCACCTGTACTGTATTTCAAACATATTTGGGTACAACCTGTTGTTCCTGTCACGTGGAACAATATGACTTCCTTTTGTAGAAATTCTTTAAAATTCTAAATACCAGCAGTGTCCTTCTAGTGTTTCACAGGCATGTTAGAAGCAGAAACTGAAAAATACTTTGGGTGGCTGTTTTGTTGTGTGCCTTCAAAGCTTCAAAACACAACAGTGTTTTGCAATCACTACTGCACCCTGCACCTACTTCTCTGCATGTTGTTGGGTAACCCTGTGGCAGGTCATGTACAACTCCGTGGCTCAACAGGGAGTGCTAAGGAAGAAACTATTCCAAGTCCCCTTGTATTGTACACTGGAAGGAGAATAGTGGTAAAATTTATAAATCCCAAGGGACTGGAAACCTGTTCTGTGATTGTTGCACTTAGTCATTCCTACTTGTTGAAAGCTGAAATACTGTTGTCAGATGTTTTGTAAACCAAAGTCATCATTTTATTTGTGGTAGTGACTTGTAGCAGATTAGTCACTTTGCCTAAGGCAGTTTTATTCCCTTAATATGTTCTGAAGCTTAAAAACATACTCAGTTTGTCTGTTTGCCACTATTGTGGATATGGGCCCATATACACAATGCAAGTTAGCACAGACAAAAGTTACTGTCATTCCACAGATGCTTTCCCACTTAATATCTGTTTAACTGTAGTCTAAAGAAACAAGACACTGAACTGCCAAACTGTCTTCATGATGTACAAACAATTGTAGAATTTCAGTATTTTCACTCAGCTGTTTTACTAGATGCATTTTAAAAAAATATAGGTATGTACATATGCTTTATATTTAATAAAATTATACTTGGAACATTCAAAGAGGAGAGCATTTCGTGGCTCAAGTAACTTCTTGCAGCAGCTAATTAAAAACAGCTTGGACCCTCATAGAGAACCATGAATTTTGTAGAGGGAGAACAAATGGAGAGGAGTTGGGGCAGGTAAGGTGCTTGGTCAGTGTATAAATCCATTTCTAGAAATGCAGAAATGATTTTAATCAAAACGAGATATTTGGGTTATTACATGTAGTGTAATGGGATGGTAATGGTGGAAACTGTCTGTGTGAATCACATAAAACTTGCTTTAATAGAACAAAGCAAGGTGGAGGAGGAAGTAAAATACAGATCTGTGCTTACTGTTTCTGGAATTACAGTGACACCTAGAGTCCAGAGCAGCTTCATTGTAAATTCTCCTTGTGCCTTCTCAGCCTTATTTTCAACATGCAGAACAGCAGTAATGCAATTAATGCAATTATTGCCATGTCTAAATTTGTCAGGAAAGCCTGGTGAATCAGAAGGTTTTAGACTAGTCACATAAGAACAAGTATTACAGCTTTATAGTTTTGACAGGTATCTCAGAGGGTCATGTAAGAATCCTTTGTATTTCCTAATATAGACATAATATTTACATAAGAAGTCATTACTACATAATATATGACTAGACTGGTTGAAGTTTCTCTAAAATAAAATGTCAGAGATCCCACACTTCAGAAGTAGTGAACACTACCAGCCTGGAAGTGTGACATTTTCTTGTTGAACACATCAATGTCCTTGTGATTGATTGACAGGAATGAGAAGGCAAAGGCATGTTTTCCATCTTCCTGAAATATTTGCTGTTAGATGGAGCTGGAAACCCACAGTGCTGTGGGAGATGGACCCTCGCTTTGTCTCAGTTGTCAGTTCTCATCTTGCTGAAGTGAGAAATGCCACTTCATTTGTTAAACAAAGCCTTGCTTTATTTAAATTATGATAAAAGATGCAGCTGTTCTTTAGCAGGGAGAATGCCTGATCATATCAGATATCTTGTAGAAGTGCTGATTTTGTAGATTGGCTGGGTAGTAACTGCTAAAGAAGAAAAGGTACCATAAAAAAAGAAAAAAGTATCCTGCCTTTGACTGAGTAGCACAGTTCTGTTTTGTGCTTCTGTCCATTTTGAACAGGCACAGAAAGGCAAAACTTGGTGCTCCAGGTAATCCTGACTTTGGATGGTGGGACTGGAAGAGGGGGATTTTTTGTCTAGCAAGTGAATTTTAGTATTGGAGGAGTAACCTTTTCACAATGACCACTACTTTCCTTTCCTGGATAGCCTAGGAAGAAACTCCCATCCCAAATGAGCTTTGCCATGATAGTACATGTGTTTATATAGTCATCTTTTTCTGCTTGCCTGTCTAATACACAGGGTTTGCTCTGTTTAAGTTTAAGCTCTTGTTAAGGCTCTGCAGCTGTTGGTCTGTATATTTTACATCAGTAACTATCACATTAACAGGACTAAACCCAGAATTTCACCTATGAAACGAGTTTATTTTCTGTTGCTGTCAATTATCACACATCTTTCACAAATGCTCACTTCATGTAAAAGGAATACATATAAGTTTATGTAAAAAGAAAACAAAATACACAGAATTAAATCTAAACTGAAAAAGGAGACTTTTCTGAAGCATCAGCAGTTGTCTTATGAGAGATGAACTCTTTTCCCACGGTTTTCATTCCTGCAGAACGGACAATGGAATATGTAACACAGGTGTAATGCACAATGCCCTTGGGTTTGGTGATCTGTTTAGAAAATCCTCTTGAGAAAACCTTGCAGGGCAGTGTTCTTCACCTCCCTTTAAAGCAAAGGAGGTCTGTGAAGAAGCTTCACTTCTTCACCTGCCCCTTTGCTTGCACGACAAACAGGGAACAAATCTGAACTGCTGCACGTGCTCATCTGTTCTGGTAAACAGTGTCAGCTTCCAAGTCATCCTGAAGGAAAAATGCAGAAATATTTTCTTACTGATGTGAATTTTTTTTATATAAAGGCAGAATTTATTTTTTTGACGCAAACTCCGTCTTGGCAAAATACAAATTTATGGCAGTTTCATTTTTAAATGTCTATGCATATATTTTATAAAGTATATATTATCATATATATGTATATATAAAAGTATATGTATGGTCATCTAGAATGCTTTATAGTGTCTGTGACTGTTGTGCAGAATTCTTTTTTAGACCTTTATCAACTTTAAAAAAAGAAAAGTCTATTTCCAGAGGATATAGAAATGGTACACTCTTAAAAAATGTTGGTTCCCTATAAATTTTGGTATTGATGGGTAGATACTTACGGGCTGTTGGCAGTGCTCAGCAAACCCCTGCTTTTGAAGTTCTTGGGCTATTGCTTGAAAAACTTTTCGTCCACTATTTATTTTCTGCAAATTATTAAAAGTATTTTAGATTATTGCAACATTTTAAGTTGTGGGAAACATCTTTTTCTAGATTTGATAGTCCTGCCTTTTTACCTGACTATATCTTTTGGAACATTACTAAATAACATTCTAAAAGCATATAGTTTGGCAGGCAGAAGGGTTTTAAATTACATTACTATTGCATTACTTAACACACGTAAGGAAAGGAAAGATATGTAAGAAAACATACTTTCTTTAATGGGTATTTAAATGTATGGCTTCAGGTTTTTATTCAAGGATACATGGTGACAGAGATTCTTAATAGATTTTTTTAAAATACTTCTTTAAATGGACCATTTAAAGAAACAAAAAATTAATAACAACACCTGTTATTTTCAGAAGTTTGAACAAAATTTACTTAAAACCTCTGTGGTAGAGATGGCCTTTACACAGATTAACTTTATCATGTATCCAATGTGTTAAATCAATTAATTAGTTAAAATTAGTTAAATATAAGCTCATAACTAGTTTTGTACAAATCTAAAGTGAAGCCTTAACAGCCTTTAAATGTCTCTTTAACAGAATCATCAATTAATCACAAATTTGATGCCCAGTATACTTTAAAAAGACAGAAAAAAGAAGCTTTGAATGACAGACAGGGCAAAGGAAGTGGTAACGTACACAGTTCTCTGTTCTTTGGCCTTTTCCACTTTTCTTCAGCAGCTTTGGTTTTAACTGGAGAGAAAATAAAACCCAATTAAAACAGAAGAAGAGAAGCAAGGGGAACAGTTAAAAGTGTTGCCTTTCTACAGTGTCAGTTTGTAGATAAGTCATTCATTAGATCAGTTTATGTCATTGTAAAAATCAGAAGTTTTCTCATGTGTAAAGCCTTTTTCAGCTTCTGGTAATAGATACTGCAAATATTTTTGCTTTGAGTACAGTGGGACCTGCCTGAGATACAACTCTATTTTGATAGGAAATTTAAATTATTTTCCTTTTACTGGAAATTAATCCAGGGAGTTGATGACTTAAAATGGTAATTCCTTGTTTTGCTTTTTGAGTGTGTTGATAATCTCCTGGTTAATACTCTCAGGATAATTTTAACTTCAGAATACCTTTTCTTTTAGACACTTTACTGAAAAAAGAAAATGTGGTTGCTGTTGAGTTCAGTTATGTGCCACACAAGAGTTCCTAAATGTGTGCAGCACATGAACTTCAACCAACTACCTCTTTAAAACAACTGTAAAAGTTATGAAATCCAGGAAGGTGTTTTTAATCTCCTTATGGAGATGTTAAAACTGCACAGATTTTCAAAGTGAACAAAATGTGAACTATCACTTTGAGCCTACCTTGTAGACCACAAAGAAGGTGAACACAGTGGAGCTGTACACAAACAGCAAGGACGAGATGATGATCGTGAAGGTAAAGGCGAGTTTTCCATTGCTGTGCTGCTCTCCTGCTCCATTATGAACAGTGAGTGTTAGAATGAAGGACAGTTCTTCTGATTCACATCATTTTCTTAAGATTCTGCATTCCACCCCCCTTCCTCTGAGCAATTACAAAACCTGATACTCATCAATATTTTTCTGGTTCATTTTTGGTCTAAATTCCTTCGTGAGATCATTTTCCTTTTGTTTCCCCAGATGTTTGCAAGGGCAATGGAGACCTGTTAGTTTTGATTATGAACCCTTTCTTTAGGGGTGGAGAGAGAATGGAATCCAGTTTTCTGCTCTTGTAAAGGTACCTCTGAGTAAAGCTCACAGACTTTTGTTCTGGAATTAAATTAGATAGAGGAGGGAATACAGAAAGCAATAATCCAGCTAGGTGTTTCTTTTTTTTTTCTTTCTATATTTTAGCACGTAAAAGTGAAATGTACTTATTGAAGTCTCATCACTTTCTTAACCAGAAGGCAAGTGATACAAAGGTTTAGAACTAAAACCTTTGTCTCAGGTTGGGACAGTGAATCCCTAGGTCAGACCCTGGTCTCTGTTGCACGTATGTCTTCTAAATATCCGTGTCTCTACTTCTCATTTTTCTGTTGACACTTCCTTTCTGATTGTCATTAAAACCTTTATGTAAGAGGCTGTAGAGTATGGTTAGACAGCAGCAGTACAAAACTTCTTACTTTTGTGGAGTTCTAGCCATTGCATCCTGTGACAGAACAGTCTAATTAGCAAACGAGGCTGAGATGCTTATTTGTAGAATGCCTCTGGTTTTACTATTAACATTTTAATATAGTCACACTACTCCAAATGGGTTTGTTGGTATTTCTATCTTAAATGTCATTCTTGAAAGTATAAATAGAAAGAGTGTTTAGAAAAGATAATTTATTTCTTCTAAGAAGCTTTGTTAAGAAGGAATGAACAACTGACCTGTTTTCATTAGTACTGTTCCATCTCCTGTTTGTTTGGAACGGGGCGAATCTGAATCTGAGAAGGCAATTCCACAGATATAAACACCATTGTCTTCTATAGTCAGGTCTTGGATCTCAAGTGAAGTGTTGCTTTCTGATAAATGTACTTTGTACTTCTGGTGGTCTTTGCATCCAGGAGTACACAAATCCTGATGTGTGTGAGTTAAAAAGCGAAACCACAGAACTTCAGGTGGGGATGGGGAACATCCAGAGGCAGAGAAAGCACATGTTAGGACCACACTGCTCATGGAGGAGTCAGCTTCCTGAAATCTGGGTTGTGTTACAGTGACTTGGCAGTTGTCTCTAACACCTGTTGGGAGGGAACAATTGGTGATGTGAGGGATGGTTAAAAAGCAAGGTACAATCTACAGTACAGAGCAGTTCTGCAGGGGTTTCTCTCTCCACTATTCCTGATCCGAGTCAAGCAAGGCAACCTGATGGCAGGCAGTGGAAATGTCATAAATTGAGGCATTTATAATTTAGCAACTTCATAACATTGATTAGAATTCACAATAGTTCCTAGACATTCTACCACTTCATCACATATATTGACTCTGGATTTCCGAGGATAATAATAGTACTTGTTAGTTCTGACATTTAAAGATGTGTGCAGAGAAAACAGGAAGGTTATCAGAGAATTCTAATTAAGGAACTGAAAGGTAAGGTTCAATATGACTGGTCTAGGAGATTTTTTTTAAGTCCTTATTGAAATTTATAATGTAAATACTGTTTCAGTATATTTAAATTTTATTCAAATAATTGGCGTAGTTATTTAAACTGTGGAATTAAGATTATTGCTCTGAAAATGAAGGTAGTAGCTTAACAGCATCCTTTTCCAGTTCCCAAAAAATAACAACTTAGAAGAAAAATAAACAGAAGTCTCTTAGTCCTCTTCATACACAATTTATAAGGCTGTCCATGGTGAGCAGTCAGCATTGGCCCTTCATCATTTTGCCCACCAGATCCAAGCAGATTCAGTGTCTGTGACTTTCACAGGAATAAAATGAAACACTCATTCTGTGTCAGATCAACATCAGAGCCATTCCCCAGCAATCTGCAGATTGTATTAATGTAAGTTGTGGGTGTACTTGCTCCCTGTGTGGTGAAAGGCAGTAACTTGTGCTTCTGCAGTCGATCCCCTTCTCTTTTCCACCTTACCCACGGGCTCTGGTGGCCTTGCAGAGCAGGACTCCATGGCCTCAGGTCATGTAGGCACTGCCTGCTGAGCTTCCCAAACCCTCCTCCCAAACAAACACAGTTGCACTGAGCTCAGGCTGCTGCTGGAGTGTTGTGAGCAGGGAAGTGCAGTAAGAATTGACTCAGAAATCACAGCTTACGTGAGCATTTCAGACTTTTGGAAGAAAAAACATTTGCTAGGAGTTGTTTAACTTGGAAGTTGCGTGAAGATAGTAGAAATTAACTTGATTCACAGAACTTTTTACTGCTCTTATTTTATAGCTCTGTTGCAAATCATAACCACAAAATTCTCAGTCTTGTTTAACTGCTGTTACATGAGAAAATGTAAGAAACTTAAAAGAAGTCTTACCAGCACTGTACAGAATCCAGTCAAACGCCAGCACTAGCACATTTTTTAGTTTGTTGAAAGTTGCCATTTCTTGTATCTCTCTGGAAATGATTCTACTTGAAGGAAGAGGAACTTAGGAAATGTTTGGAGTTGCAGAACTGTCTGAATCACAAGATGTAGAACTTCCTGTTTAGAAGGGTGTTTACTACTGCATTTAGTAAACTGGTTAAAAGTACAGAACAAACCAGAAAGCTTTTGGGTTTTGTGCATGACATTGCTTGGAAAATGAGGGAAGAATTTTAAGTTTTGAACTTCAGAGAGTCGTACCTATAATCCTTCAGATAATTTCACTGGATAGAACAAGTAGGATGTTTTCCAGCATGATGCAGGGTGCTTGGCTTTTTTATAGCTATGACCCTCAGCAGCCTTTACTGTGTCAGCTGGTAGGTGGCCAGTGGAGGCACAAAGATTCTGTAGCCATCCACTGTCATGTGGAGGAAGCTTCACAGCAAGTCATCATTTTCAACTTGCTGATTCTATTTACTGTGATTATCTGCAGCTACCTTTGGCCAGACAGTGGGCATAAAGAATGTTATAAACATGGAAAATAGCTTTATTAAATTGTCTGTCCATGTCTGCTGAACACCAGCCTCAGTAGTGGAAGGTACCTTTTACCCGCTCTTGGCACTGCTAGTTAAAAATGCAAAAGATAACCTTGAGAAGCTGCTGCTTTTGTACACTAGGGAAAACTTGAACTGATCTTGCAACAGGTCTGCAAGTGGCTTGTGAGCCTCCCATGTGGAGTGGCATGGAATATAATCAGTGTAATTATGCTTTCTGTAAGAAAAGAAAGTTTGCTTTATAACCAAAACAAAACTGTTCTGTTTCCTCAGTAGGTGGCAAGTGGGAAAAGCCTTCAGAAGTTCTGGAAATCAAAGGGCAGACTTGGGAAGAGCAGGTGAATAGCCTGCCAGAAGTTTTCAGTAAAGCTGGTTTTGCCATAGAGGCTTTCACCAGACTGCCATACCTGTGTGAAGGTGACATGTACAATGACTACTACGTGCTGGATGACGCTGTCTTCGTCCTCAAGCCAGTGTAAGGTGTCTGAAGTAAACCTCCAGAATCTAACCCAAGGAGCAGCCTCTGAAAGAGGGTTTTGATTTTATGGTTACTTAAAGGGAGGGAATTTTTGGGATTGCCATGCTAAATGAATACCGTGTAAGAAATTTAAAGGCCAAAATACTAATGTATTTCTTTGTAGTGTGATTAGGGGGGAAAAAAAAAAAAGGTTGTTTTTTAAACAGACTCCTCCATTGAGAATTTCTTTTTTACCTGCTCTTAAACCAACAATGCATTCTGCAATCCAGCAGCAATGGGGGATATTTTTTTATATTTACCTGCAACAGGGATCAGATCCAAACAAAAGCAATATTCCTAATAATGGTGAAACTGATACAGTGTGAACTGTTAAAGAAATCAAGTGAAATCTGGCAATAAAGTTATCCATTCAATTCAAGCCTTGTTGAATAAAAACTGTTAAAATGGATATTCTTCCATGCTAAGTTACTTTCTTACTGTCATTCTTCACGTTTTTAATCATGCTAATAAACTTTTTTGAGATGACTTTTGCATTAACTTTTGTGTTCATTTTTGTAACCATAGCCACACTTACCTGCAGCAAATGCTCTTTGTGTTGAGAATCAAGTTTTCAGCAGCAGCACCACCTTGCATTTGTTTAAACAGCATTTGATTATTTTTTGAAGGGATAACAGTCCACAAAAAATGTATCACTTTTGGTTGGGTTTCCTTCATATTCTCTCAAGGCCTCATAAATTCTCATTGCTTTTGCATATACCATCTTCCAGCTAAAGGGGTTATGGTAGAACTTGCCAAAACTGCACTTTAAAATGATGGGTTTAATAACAAGGTCTGTGAGCAAGTTGTTCCCAAATGTTTTCAGCTCAAAAAACTTGCAGGCAGTTTCTTGCAAATTTTGTGAGTCTGTCTGCCTCTGAGGATCAGGCCCTGGGGACTTGATTGGGAGGGTTTTGCTAGCTTGAGACATTTTCTTCAGGAGCACTAAACAAATGCTATTTTTTTAACATGTCTTATTTTAAAAAACTGTTTAAAGTGGATAATTTCTGGCAGTTGGGATATAACCTTTAAAACAACAAGCAGCAGCAGAAATAGTACAGAGCTGGCAGCTGTGTCTTGCAGTGCTTGGGCTGTAAGTGTGAGAGAGCAGAGAAACCTCAGCTTTTATATCATCTGGTAAGTAAAGTAAGAACTTATTTATATTGCTTTTGAAGTCTAAAAAAGTTGTGTGTTGGGGTTGTTATAAATACTGGTGATCTTATGCTAGGTGGGATGCCATGAATGTGTCATTTTAGGTTTGCCTTGGCCTGGCTTTGTCTGACAGTTAATGAATTCTCTTGCCAATATATGAACCTTTTATTCTCAATCATCTTCGTGGAGTAGTTGGTATTCTGTAGGATAGGGTGAGGGGGTTGATTTGGTGGGGTTTCTCAACAGTAATTCAAACTCAGTATTATTCTCATTTCAGGATGTGCTGTTGAATTTTTGCACATAGTACAATGAGATTTGTCTGTTGGGAGAATGAGCTATGTATGCTCTGGAGTGAATCCATTAATTTGTCCTCTGTTCATCTTGTACTCACCTAGTAGTGGGAAAATGTTTTTTAATGTGTAATGAATTTAGCTTAAAGTAGCAAATATGTATTAAGACAAACTTCTTAAAAGGTACTTAAGTGTTTTAATCCCACTGGTTAAAAATCACACAAGGGACTGCATTTCATGTCTCTCATCTTTTAGTCCTGTCACTTAAAACTTCAGTTTGTAACAGCTTTGAGATGTTTTGGGACAGAAGGTGCAATGTAAATAATAGGTTTTTGTTTTATTCTTTCTTATGATCTACTTTGTTCACTCTATTTAAACAAGTATTCTTACACTTGAGATGAGGAATTAAAACACAAGCAGTAATGGAGAAAAGCTTTCTACAAGAAAGCCTAAATTCGGCAGGGTTGAAAACCTGCTTAGTCCTGTCGAATAAACAGAATAACTCTGAGAGGACTGTACCTACACCTGAATTTGTAAAGCCAGAGTTCCCTGTGAGGGAAGGAGAGCAGTGCAGCTCATTGTGTCAGGAAAGGGGCTTCCTTCTCCTTTCAGGCCTTGAGGGAGCATTTGAGTGCAGTTAATACCTGCTCACAGCCCATGCAAAGAAACTCGAGTCCAGTAGTTCATTAAATTCCCCAAAATACTTTAAAATGTCATCTAAGGGGACAAGTGTTGCAATTCCAGTGTCCAAATTCATTACTCCCAGGTTTGGAGGTCCTGCCTTGTCCCTCTGCTGTTCCTGTCCTGCTGTGGGAGACAAGTGTGTGAGTTGTCCTTTGGTGGTCTCACTAATGTGTAGTGTCTTGCCCTGGAGAGTAACTAAACTGTGTGTTCTGTCAAGGTGGCACTGGATGTGTTGCATCACAGGAAGAAGATGCTGTGCAAGGGTGTGATTTAGCCAGAAACTTTCAACACAAAGTCAGAACAACTTCGTCTCATGAAACCACAGCCCCCTTTTGCTGGGTGACCCCAGGTCAGTTCATGTTCTACTCTGAGGAGCCCAGGGCCCCCTGCCCGTGCTTGAGGTGGGGAGATGGGGGGAGAAGGGCAGCACCAGCCCAGCCCTGGGTATCCCCACGCAGCTCCTTGAGGTCTCTTCATCTCTGGAGGGGAAACATCCTCTCCTACCTGCCGTGGGAGTCCCTGGCCCTCTGAGCCCCCCACAGAGGAGGTTTTTCCCCTCCCCTCTGGCTGAAGGCCGATGCTGCTGGGCAGACACCTGGGGCGGTGCTGGCCCCTGTCCCTGCCCCTGCTCTCAGGGTCCCTGCCTGGAGCCGCCCAGCTCTTGGCACTGCAGGTACTGGGAAGGAGGCGCACACAGCAGAGGCAGGTACAGTGCTCCGGGGCCCTGGCTCTCCCCAAGAACTCACAGTCTCCTTCTCTTCTGCCCTCCCCTCTCTCCCTTTCCAGCCTGGACCCCTTGTGGGTTCCCTCACTGCATGTGGGGTTTTTGTCAGAGGTGCTGAGAGCCCGGGTGCAGGGGTGGGCACTGGCAGTGCAAGGGCTTATCAGCAAGACTTGTGATTATGAGGTCAGCTTTCTGGTTATCCAACTTCAGATAAGGCAGCACCTGCATTGGAGAGGGTGATAAAATGTCTAGGATTTCTGTACATGGGAGAGCGGCTGTTTAGGGAGCAAGAGGAGAAGGCGGTCTGGGAGCTCTTTAAGGGTGACTTGTCATAGATCTAATCACAGCATATGCAAGGAACAATCTCTGGGGAAATGCTGGATAGGATCTGCAAGAGATCCCCACAGAGTGATTTGGGATTGTCTGAAAGCTGCAGTGAACTGCAGACTTAGTTTCACTGACAAAAGGAACTATTTCCCACAGATTGTCTTACCAAGCAGGGCTGTTTCACAGCAGACTTCTTCCAGCACCTGCTGATTTGTCTGCCTGAATTAGTCAGGATGAAAAAGGACTTTCCTTAGTATTTTATCTCCTTATATATTGAGTTAGCATGCTTTAATTGAAATACGCTCCCGATTAAAGTGAATGAATTGGAATAAAATCAGGACAGACATTGGAAGCATGATTTAAACTATGCAGAGTAATCAAACCTAACTGCAAAATTAATAGGGCAAAGGCAGAAACAAATACAAGTGAGTTCATTGTGTAGGAAACCAGATATATCTGAATGAGAGACATGTACTGTGGTGCTCCCAAAAGAATAGCTGAAAAGGGTTTCAGTGTGTGTAAAAACAAGACAGAGGCGATAGTTCTTAAAGTCTAATGTTTAAATTTTTCATCATCTGTCAGTTTGAGTCACTTCTGTTACAAGACTGGAGTTAAGTATTTGCAATAGACTGAAGTATTGCTGGAGGCTGTTGAAAGAGGTTTTCATAAAAGAGCACCTTGATACATGAGATTAAACAAACCAAGAAAGGAGTTCGTATTTATCAAATGTTCAGATCTGTAACTCAAGCTGTGGCAGAGAACTTTGAAAAAAAAAAAAAAGAGAGAGCGAGAATGGATCCAGACTCAGCAACAAAAGGAAATGCAGAAATTCAGTGTGTTGCAGATAAACCTTTGAAATGAGGGAAAGGGAGAGAAAACCTAACAAAGTCATCTCAGGGTCAGAGCCAAGTTGGCCAGTGGGGCCCTCTGTGTCATTTGTTAAAATCAGTGACTAATCCCAGCTAAGGAGCCGTGATCTGTGGAGTAGAGCATCATCCAATATCAGATTAATCAATGGTTTTACCTGTGGGGGTGGTGACTCAGGGCTGAGCAGAGGGACAGGCTGAGGGTGCAGAGGCAGAAGATCCTCTCTGCAGTAGCTCAGTACAATGTGGATTAAAGCAACTTAAGGGCAGAGGGGACGTGGCTGCAGAAACTCCTGTGAGTGAGACCTGCTCAGTCTCAGCTTCCTTTCCATCCTGTGGCATTACTGCAGTGTGGATCCTTGTCCTGCAGGAACTAGACCCAAAGCAACAGATTCATTTTGTTTAGGACAACTGTGAGACTGCCAGTCTGTGACGCTCCAGTGAAAAGCTCTGGGTGTCCCCTTACTACCCTTCCAGCTAATTTATCTTTCAGAGACCTTTCTGCCACACAGCACAGAGCAGCAGGGATGGCAAGAGCTACTAAACCATCTACTTCTGTAAAACTGTGTCCGGGGTGATGGTGGGACACTGATGGTACAACTTCTCCTGAGTGCAAGGGCTGCAGCTTTGATCCATCTAAATGAAGTGACGTGGTCTTGCACTCAAATGTGTCACTCTCCCTCTGCTTCAAAAGAGCAGAAGGACGGTCTCTCCCTTTTTGCAGAGCTCTGGCAGCAGGGAAGGGGAGCTTTCCTTCCCCCTCCCTGCCTGGAGCACCCTGCACTGACCAGGGGCAGGGACAGGGCCAGACCCCTGACCCTGTGAGTTCAGAGAGCTGCAGATGGAGGTCCCAGATCTGTCTGTAGGGATGATGCAGGCACAGCCTGATGAGCTGGGAAAGGCTTAGGCTTTGCTTGGAGCTTCTTTATTATTTCCGTTTTCACTCCCTCTTTTTCTCTTCTATTTTATCTGATTTTAAAAGGATTTGTTTTCTTGCTTTAACAAACCTGCACTGAAGTTGTATTTAGCTGGAGTGTGACTTACTAAATAAATGGTGCTACCAGGAAGAAAATTAAACAAGCCACTTGGTAAAAGGGAAATAAATCTGGCTGCACCTCCACACTTGGCATGTGTTTGCATAAAATATATCTCTATCCTGGAAAAATATCTAAATTAAAAACTTGGGAGCAAACACTTTCGGAACGTTCTGATCTCTATCTGTACTCCACAACATAGGCTGTCTCTGATTTATAGCTATGAAAGTTTGGGGTGAATATTGCCTTTTGACTCTGTTCTTTCTATTTTCCTTTTCAATCCAAATGTCTTTTGATTCTAATAAACACCAGAAGAAATGTCCAGACTTTTGAAGATATGTTTCTTGTTGATATCAGTGAATCATGCTGAGATTATTCACAGTCAGAGCTCTGAAGGTAAGACCAGAACTCC